GTCGGGCACCCCAGAATTGCCCGACAGTATGTTTTGTTATGAGATTGTATAGTATGTGGTAAGATGGGGGAACTTACTAAGCTTCATGCTTACAGTTTTCAGTTTTGTTTCAGGTACCTCTTCAGCGAAGGGGAAGGAGCCGGCGCGGCAGCGGCACATCATACACACGCAGGATTTCCGCACTATGAGATTTCTTGGGATTGTACTTTGGCATTGTTACTATTTTTACAATATGATTTTGAGACATAAGATTATGGTCTTTATGAAATGATATGATTCAATTATGTTTTCTTATAAATGTTTTCTAAATTGTTATATCAAAAATGAAATTTTTGGTCTTGAAATTTGGGACGTTACAGATTTGGTCTTCTACATAAACTTGTGCATCCACTTAGGATGGGTTATGACTTACGTGGTCGACCCTTTATGACTATGGTACCTGGGGTGAGCAAAACCAAACCCGAAAACCGAAAAAACCGAAACTGAAACCGACAATTTGGGTTTGAGTTTTTTAAAACCAAATATTGGGTTCGGTTTCGGTTTTAAGAAACATAAAATCGATAAAAACTGAACCGAAGTGAATTTATAAAAAAAAATTGTAAATACTATATAGTTATATACATATTTCGTAAGATAATAACACAAATAGCATGTAGCTCAATTGGTTCAACACGACGTCCATGTACCTGGAGGTCATGAGTTCGAGTTCTGTCCCCATTCTTGATCCAACCTTTGAATTTTACTATATGCCTTTCTTATTCAACTTCGAATTTTCAAATCCCACATCACGAATGTCTTGAAACTCAAGCTTATATCTACTCTTATAAAATATAATATCTTCCTCCCTTTTCATTATAATTTTTTAGGCTTCCTACATCGGTGATGGTGCAGAAAACATGCCTACCTCACCCTTATATATAATATTTCTTATACCATTGAGAGTTGGTTTAGATCCAAGATAACCTTTGGTTAAATAGTGGCTAAGTTTGAAATTTTTGGTTTTAAACCCGATGAACCCGAAATCGAATCGGAAAAACTGAAAAAATCGAACTCATCGGTTGGGTTGAAAGTTCAAACCTAAATTAGTACCCAATTGTGGTAGTGTGGTATTATGTAGTGATGATGTGACATTATTGTAGACATACCTCACTTTTTGTATGGATCTTGTGTGATGTCCACATTATCCCAGCATTTAGTGTCCAAATGTGTAATGTTTACCTTGTTGTTTTTTTTACACAAACAATTATCCATTCAACTTTGGTGAAATGTTTGGACTTGAGATGACTTTAGTGAGGTGTTTTAACTTTAGGTATTTTGGGTTTTGGAAATATAAGCACATGCATTGCATTATATGGACATTATTAGATAATTAGTAATAAGTTTGATGTTATGTTGAAACTTGAAATCCCACCTCCCCACCCTCCCCCTTGCGCCCAAATATTGAATCTAAACATGTGTTTTGATGTATAATAATAGTTATTATGTTAAATAAAATCTTATTATGATAAAGAATATATCATTTTATTATTAAGATGTTAAAATATATTTTTCATATAAAATTTTTGTGTATGGTTGGAGTTGAAAATGATTTTAGTGTAGGTTTTATACAAATTAGGCTAAGGGGTATGGTCACCACCAACCCTCTAGAAAAGTGTGGTCAACTCAGCGTCACATCAGCTCTACTACATGTCCACTACCAAACCACTAGCCCTTGAAAATGGTTACAACTCCACAATTTTTATCTTTTTATTTTTTATTTTTTCTTGTCATTAGATTAAATAAAAAACATAATTTAAAATATAAATAAATATTTTACATTAATTAACAACACACAAAATTAAATCCTAAATTACTTAAAAAAAATTAAAACCTAAATTAATAAAAAAACATAAAACATATCAAATAAAAACTAAATATTAAAACACTAGAAACTAATTTTCATATTTTGCGCAGACTTGTTGGATTTTTAGAAACGTGGCTAGATTATCCGGGTCGAGATCCGATTGGGGCTTTGTGTTTATGATTTAAATTGGTAAGTGCTATTTTCTAGCGACAAACTTCCTCCGTTGCTTCATTTTTTTCTAGAAAACTTAGAGTTTTGTCTATTTTTCCACAAGTACGTCTTCGCTACTCGATTTTCCACTTGAAGACGCCGCCTTTTTCGATTTGTCCCTTCCCGGTGGTCAACGAAGTTGGACTTCCGGTGGACCCTCCCACTGGTGTCATCGAAGTCATCATTTAGGTCGAGTCCAAAAATCACGTCCGACTCGGAAGTTCTTGGCCTTTTGTTGGAGTTGGTGATAGATCCCGAATGCACCTCACCCGGATAAAGGAACCATTTGGGACCCTTACGACAAACTTTCCACGCTTTTTGGTTGTCGAATGGTTTCCCGTTAATGCTAATTTTGTATTGGTAGCATGCAGTTGATTTGAAATCGTTGCTACCACTTTTGTACATATTTTTAAGATTGCCAGACATGTCATTAAAAATTTGTCCAAGCCGCTCGTAGGTCATGCCATTTTGCATTGACCGCGTCGTACGTCCGCTCCGTTTCTCTTCCTAATAGCGAATGAAAGTGGTCTAAAAAAACGATTCCAAAAACTTTGACCGGATTGCGCGTTCCCTATGTCACCATATTGCGATATGAAAATCCAAGCTTTCGCTAAATCTTCCTCCTCGTCTTTGTTCCACTGCTTGGTTTTTGTTTTTTTTGGAGCTTTTCCTTTTTGTTATCGTCTTCTAGATGGTTGTTGTGCTTCTTGTACTATTTAGTTGCCGTCTTTGTCGAGGTTTATAGGTTGGGATTGAGATAATGAGACTTGAGATGGTTGTGAAGGTTGTGTTTGAAATTGTTGAGGTTGCGATTGTTGAAAAGGTTGTTGGAAGGCTTGAAATTGGGGTTGATTGAAGTGTTGTGGTCGTTGTTGTTGGTAGTAGTTTGGGTGGTATGAAGGATTAGTGAATAGAGGTTGTTGTTGGATTGTGGATGTTAACATTTGCATATAACCAAGATTTGCATATGGATCATTTGGAGTGTTTGGGGGTGTTTGGAGTGGGTGAAATATTTTGATTTGGATCCATAGGTTGAAAAAAAATAAGAAAATAGAAAGAAGTTGTGTGTTTTCGTAGTGTGAAATGTTTAGAAAATATGTGGTATTTATAATTGTAGGTTGTGCTTTTTAAATTGAAAATTAAAGAAATTTTTTTTAATTCAACGGCTACAAAGGAAAAATGAAAAAACGGTCAAATATGTGACCGTTGTTGCTGCTTTCTTATTTGTCGTCTTCGTCCGTCCTCACAGCCAAGCCATCGGTCGATGGGGCGGTGTTCATGTGTCTTTTGGCCTGCTACGTCATAAGTCACGCGTGGTTTGTGCTACCATACTGAATAACCATATATAAGATATAAATCATATAATGTCTTAGAAGTAGAAGTTGAAGTTGGAATCGGTGGTCCTCCGTCCGCCACCACAAGTGGTTTGTAGTTGGTCTAAAATCTGTGCTACGAATACATTTCTTTTTTCTTTTTTTTTTGAACCGGCAAATATAAATATATAAACTACAAATACATAAGCCAACAAATAAATGGTACATGTCTTAGGGTATTAAAGAAGTGACAACCGTTAAAGTGGATAGACTATAGAGCAAATGCCAAATTGAAAATGAAAAGATTTATTAAAGAATTATACCCATATTCCAATAGTTGTCGTGAGGGGTGAAGGGATATGTGCAGTGCTAATAAAAGGTCTATTCTACTGTGTATTTTTTTTTTTTATTATTATTATATTAGGTGTGAGACCCGTGTATTACACGGGTTGTTTTAAAAAAAGATTAAACATTAAAATATATACAGAAAATATTTTTTAATGTACAACTTTGAAATAAGAAAAAAGAAATGTATTTATTGCAATTTAATATCATATATATGATATTTAATAACTTACATATATAACTATATGACTTTAATTTTAAAAATTGAAACAAACCAAAAATTGATAAGTGGATAATATTTATTTCAAAAATACCACAAAATGATAAGTATCAAAACTCATGAGAGATTGACATGTGGCAAAAAAAACTTTTATTTATTAAGGAGGATTGGAAAACTATTAAAATGAATAGTTATGTACAAGTATGAGATGAGACCTGTTTGAACCAATTCGTCTTGATATTTTAGCTCTCTTTTGTCTTTCTTAATTGAAAAAATAACTGGAACATAATGCATTTACAAAAATGAGTAATAACTTTGGTAATCGTTCGTACGATTCCATAATTCCATTTATACTATAGGTGTTTGCTTGGTGGACAATTTTTCAATGTGTTTTGTTAGCTTATTTATGATTCATAAATTTGTGCACTGTATAGTTAATTGGTCCATAATTAGCCGCATCTTTTTCTATATTTGTCATTATTGATCAACAACTTTCTGACAACAAGTTAAAAAGTTTCTATAAATACACATACACACTAAATTATAGTGGAAACAGCTCATTGTTCATGGTTCAAGCAAAAATGTTTTAGTTCATGAAGATTCCATGAGATATTGATTCCAAAATGAAAACAAGTGGGATTTTTTCAGTAATCAAATGTAATTTACTAATTCATCATTGATCATATGGCATTTACATAATGAAATCTTTTTTTTTTTTTTTTTTCATCTGTTTTTGAATGTAACGGTTATTATATATATTTTTTTATTACCGATAAGCAGGCATTTAATCTTTTTGAAATATGTTAAATAGATTGTAATTTATTTTATTATATAAAATAAAAATATTGGTAGGTTATATATATTGTTCATCCATGTATAGATTTTGTTTTGTAAACATACATTTTGTGTATAAAAACAAAAAAGAAAGAGATGTTTTATTCGGTTGTTTACCAAAGATGATGATTGATGGATGAACAAAGACATACCCAAATCACAATTAAAAAGAATCTAAAAGGACCGACTGTTTGGGTTCAAATATCATGCCCAAAGTGAATAACCAGCACCTAAATCACTTTTTCCCATACATGGACTCCACCTTCCCATCATTCCCACCAAGCAACAAATACTTATCTTTCCTAGTCAAATTGGTGCATTCAAATCCAAGAACACCACCCAAAACTTTCTGCACATGATTCGCCACCTCAATCGCCGATTTCCCACCACCCTTCACCGTCATCTCCGCGGGCAACCTCTCAAGAAACGTAATCTCATAAGTCGGACTCGGGTTCATGAAATAAAAATACGGGTCCCAAAACTTAACCCCACGAACCGTCGTCCCATTAAACATATTCTGCTTCAAATCCATAGCCACCGGAACAATCCTATCACTCAACTCAGCAAACAAAGCACTGAACCGCAACAAAAACGGTTCACGACAAGTCGTCCCTTCCGGGCACACAACCAGGTCACCTTTCTGAAGCAATTCTTTGATCCGGGCAGCGTCGGTTTCCCGGTCACGGGTTAGGGCAATTGCGGGGATCGGAGACATGAATCGTGAGAGTTTGCTTACGCTGTATGTGACACAGAAGGGTTTGCGACCTAAGGCAATGGCGATTATGATGGGGTCCAGGGCGGTTCGGTGGTTGCAGACGTAGAGGTTTCCGGGGGTGCCGGGGGATGGAGCTGGTGGTGGGTTGCCGCGGATTACGAGTTTAATACCGAGCATGCCATAGGTGTAACGGACGATTCGCTCCGGGAGTGGGAGATTGAAGTAGACACGGATGAGGGATAGGATGAATCCGAATGGGAGCCAGATGTATGTGATTAGGGCGTTGAATGGAGTCGGCCGTTGGACTAGCCGCCCGTCGTGGAAGATTAATCGGCTTTTCAGGCGGTCGCGGCCTACTATCGTCGCTGATTCGTCTTTCGGCACCATGAAAGCTGTCTGCAATTCAAGTCACAAATAAGAAAATAATAATAGTAATAAATTCATTGCCGTCTTCAAATTTTATCCGGAGCAGTGTAGATTTGTTCTTTCCAAAAAAAACAATGGGATAACCAAAAGTTTTATCGGATACGTATTGTATACGGTTTTTAAGCAACGAATAATTTTTTTTTTAATGTATTACGTATAATCTTAAATAGGATAAAACTTGTTTATTCCCTATAAATAATAAAGCATTAAATAGATAATAAGGGCAAAATGTATTAGGTTGGGTTGGTGACTTCTAAAGGTTGTTGTGTATATGGTGAATAAGAAAAAAAAATTATTGATTAAAAGGTTGGGCTGGTTGAATTATCAATAAGGTCTTAATACTTAATATACTAAATAAAAAGACCCATCGGTAATCATAGACTTAAAATTCTATTTGGGTCAGAAATCCGGTTCAATCTATTGTCCTCCAAGTCAACTCAAGTCTATGGGTCCATGGCTACAAGAATAATTGGAGGTAATAATAAGAAAGGGACTAGTGGGGTTGGTTATTAAACCAGCTATCTACTACCGTCTTCTTTAATTCCTTAGTTGTTCTTACAAATGTACCACCAAACTTTACACCGTTTTATCAGATCTCCAACCACCATCGCTTCACAAATTAATGTCTACAGTTTGAGAATCAATAATGCACCGAAAATACAGACCAGATAAGTACTATTACCCTGTTACTGTACCCTCACATTCTAGTCAGACTTTTACAGCTTCTTGTCTCTCAATATATGGGCTGGGTTTCAGACCATGTCAACAATCAATTACATGATAATTTTAAGAATCTTTGTATACATTCCAGAATAATCCTTTTATAGTGCTTAAGCATAAACATGGGAAGACCTCAATTCTAGCATATTCTATACCACTTACCAATGGATCCATAAAAAGATGCACTGATAATTTGGAGTTAATTTGGATATGAAGCCTAAAACTTAGCTAAGATGATTGACACTTAATTGGAATTGATGGTTTTGGACAAAGTACCAGACAATATCATTTTTCAGTTACCAGTGGACTGATTCTTATGTTATAAGCACCAATTTAGTTAGAAGCAATTAAAGTGAATATTGTTACCTTGATGTTAGCTCTTCATGGAAAAATAACTACATATAGTTGAGACCCGATCTAGAAAATAGAAATGCTTCTAAACTAGAAGAATAGGCATGAACAAATTAAGATATACATACCACCACCAATAATCCGCACAAATTGCAAATTAAAAGAAATGATATACATGCATACCAAAAAAAAAAATGAAGGGATTATTATTATTTGCGATGCATTGTTTACTAAATTAGTAGTTAGCACATTTTTATGCTTTGTCCTGGCATAACTTGCATCATCTTTTACTTGTTCCATAGAATTGATATTAAGTCAGGATAGCAAATCAACAAGTTAAAGCAACATATCTCCTCCATTCTTTCCAATATAAATTTCAATTTAGCACGGAAGAGTGTATTTAGTATGAAATGCGAACACTAACTGATATATGCAATAAAGAAAAGAGCCCGATCTAGTTTACTTTATTGGCACTAAAAATAACAAAAGCGGAAGTCGGTTTGTGCTTCGCCTTTGTAGATTATTATGTATTACGCCATTTAAATAGTTCCAAATAAACATAATAGATGCTAGACATTTCAAGAAAGTAACTGAAATTTGACTAACCTTGCAAAACGGACATGAAATCGTGATCAGATTTCCGATCGCCAAGTCCGATATCAGGCGTATCTTCACCAAATTCCTTCAGGATCGCCAGCTTCTTCCATTTACCAACCAAAACACCAGGCTCCTTCACGAATCCTGTAGCTCTTTTCGTCTTCTCATTCACCTCGATCTCCGTTCCAAGCACCTTCTCCCCTCCCAAAAAATCCTTCACGAACGCATCCACCATTACTGTCGGATTCGCCGTTACAACTACTTTCCTCTCGCACCTATCAAAAACTTCAAAACTATCACTCCTCACGTCCGCCGCATAGAACCGCGGCAGAACGGCGCGTGACGCAAGCTCGATGTCCTTCACCTTGATCCCGGAGAAGGAGATGAAAATTAACATCTGTATAGCCAAAGCCTCCGATATGAAGATGTAGGCGACAGCAACTATCGGAAACGAAAGTAACAGAGCAAGGCCGCGAAGGAGGCTGCCGGCTTCGATCGCTACAAGCATGTAGTATGGAAAAGCGGAGGTCGCTTTCAACAGAGTTCCGTCAAGATCGGCCGCCACTGACTGGTGACTGATGGCGGAGACATCGCATTTCGAGATCGGTGGAAACGCCTTCTCGCCCAATTCCGGCTTCTGTAACGACATTTTTCTCTCTCTGCACTTCTGTAAGCAACTGAATGAAGAGAGGGAGGGGGAAGGGCTCCCTTTTAAATGTGGTGCGACACAACCTAAATGACCAAATTGCCCCTTGAAGATAGGTGGGAAGTTTTCGCGGGGTGTCAGTAAAATAACGAAAATGCCCTCAAGTAGTTGAGCGGTTTAATGCACCGGTAAGAAAGTTGACTAATAATTTGACTTTTGATTCTCCTTTACATTTATACTCTTTTTCAATTAATGATGTTCGTGAACACAATCTTCTATATATGTTAATTAAGTTTGTTTTTCTTTTTATACGATATAAATATTTTGAATTTGTTATAATTGTTTTATTAATGTTAAAATGCCATATCATTCGATCTTCATTTTTTTATTAATGTATTAAAAACTTGAAATTTTCTAAAAGATTTAATCACTTAACCACTTTCACATTTGGTTGTGTACACATATTTATAAGCTTCTATTTGACGCAAATTCTTCTAAAGTATGTTATTATTTGGTTTTATGATAAGGTTTATTGAACTTGAAATTTAAATTATTATTTTTTATCCGTTAAACCATTAAACTCGAAATTTATTTGTTTAAAATATCATTTTACTCAAAATTATCAGGTTTCTAGTTACATTATTGATGTGTACATTGACTTCTGATAGTCAAAGGTTTTTATAACCACATGGATTGACTTATGATAGTCAAAGGTTTTCATAGCATCATGAACCAAACTATTGTTATTAAAATTAACAATCGTATGTTGGGCTACCCGAGAAGGAAAGAGAAAACTGAAAACCCTGTCTCTTTCTCCCTAATTTGTGGTTTCCTAGTTACATTATTTATGTGTACATTGACTTCTGATAGTCAAAGGTTTTTATAATTACATGTTTTTTCTTTTCAAACTTTTTTTGCTCTTAAATCTTAACATAACATGGTTGTTCCCATATTATCACTCTTGTTGATCCTAATCTATATCTTCCTTCCACCATCAACCCTAGATCAGAAGATGAATCGTGTTTAACCCATCTATTTGATTCCTTTCTAGACCCTATCGAAAACCTTCATAATCGGACAAAATTCGCTTTCTCAAACCTATGTTTCAATTTCAATTCCAACCTTATTGGAGCCACTTGCAACAATGGTCGAATCTACAAACTCTCCCTCCAGACCTCTCTCTCTCTCTCTCTCTCTCTCTCTCTTCTCTCTCTCCCCCACACACACACCTAACATCTCCAATTGTACCAACCTACAATCACTAGATCTTTCCAATAACTCCCTCATCGGACCTTTCCTCGGCTAACTTTAATACCTTGTCAACCTCTCCTCCAACGCTCTGACATCAGCCCACCTTCCCTTCCTATGTGCATTTGTCTCAATGTCATTGAACTCCACGATAACATTCTTACCGGCACAATACCATCGCAACTTAGATCTTTGGTGAGATTATATATTTCAATGTTTCTAATAACAAATTATTTGTTCCTATTTCGATGAGATTGGGAAACAGGATGGGGTATGTAACACCCGAGATTTTTATCAAAGTGCGGCGCAACATATGGGTTTTCGCGACACACAAGTTAAAGGAAAAACGTGTAGTGGTTAGTTTAATGAGAATCGTGATGTGGCAGTAAAGTTGCGTGTCACGCTTGAGCTGTTTGGTGAAACCTTAATTATTATACCTTGGGCCCTATGTAAAGGCTTCTTTCTCTAAGGTTTGCCTCATTTGGCAACCCCCATCTCCATAAACGTTCTTCCTCCCAAACCCTAGACTCTTTAGAGATTTTTGAGCTTTGTTTTTTCTTTATGAAGATTGGAAGAAAAAAGGATATCGTTCTTGGTGCAAGGAGCTTGAGATTTGTTATTTTCTTTATGAAGATTGGAAGAAAAAAGGATATCGTTCTTGGTGCAAGGAGCAACAACTTAGATCCAACATTCTCACATCTTTTCTACACCATTGTGATATATCTTCTAGATATAGATTAATGAGAATTTTGGTATATTTTGGTCCCTTCTGGGTATTCTTGGAGTTTGGAGAACTCCAGAACCTTATGGATGTTCTATTTTACTTCTGGACTTGTAAGGAGATATAAAAATAGGAATGCATGTACTTCCCTTTGTGTCATGCATGAGTTTTGTTCCTTGAGGAGTTAGATTTAGAGTTTTGTTGAGATTGAGCCTTTAAAAAGGATAAAGTTAGAAACTTTATCCATTTGTTAGAAGAACCAAATCTGAAAGTTTGAACCCTTCTTCTAAGGAATTAAGTACTTAACAAGAAAATGGATTATGCCTCGGTAAGCATGCCACAACCAAGGAAGACTCGTGCCTATGGGGGGTTGATGGTAGAACAACACGATAGTTGTAAGCCAAGAATACTCATTTGTGAGGGGTTTATGGTGGAACAACATGAGACATGTAAGCATATAATACTCATTATCGATGGGGGAACATCAGAGAGTCATGAGTCCCTAATGTTGACGAAATGACACGAGAGTTGTGAAGCCCTGTGATGATGGAACGACGCGACATTCGTGAGTCATCGTCGTATGTTGTTGGCGAAACAACATTAGAGTCGTGAATCCTTGTTTGTATGCATTATATGTGTATTGTGTTATGTAGTATTATGGGGAACTCACTAAGCTTCATGCTTACAGATTTTAATTTAATGTTTTTAAGTGGTATTATTGTTAAAGCGAATGGTCCAACTTGATTGTACCGCACACGTATCATTGTTGATTTATGTTTTGACTTTCGTTGTTTTTATTATTCTGATACAGCTTATGATTTAAATCTATGCTTTTGAAATAAGTAGATACTTGGGGTTTTATGAAAAATGGATTTGAATGTTGTACTCTTAATTTAGAAGAAAATTTTGGTTTAAAAATTTAGGACGTTACAAGTTGGTATCAGAGCTCTATTTGGATGAACACTCATGTGATTCCAAACTCATACTACGATCTCAAAGATTTTTACAAACATTTTTGTAACGTCCTAAAATTTAAGACCAAAAATTTCATTTTCATATTAATAAAATAACCGATCAAACATGTTTATAAAAGCATAAAGGAAAAACATAGTATGTCAGTCAAACATCCCAAATACATCATAGTCAAGTAAGACGGAAATCATGGTGTGTGTGTGTGCGCGATGAAATCATCCCGAGCTCTTCCCCTTCGATCCGGAAGTACTTAAAACATAAACTGAAAACCGTAAGTACAAAGCTTAGTGAGTTCCCTAAAATACCGCATACCATACATATCTGCTAGCTCAAGTTTGTTCCGGGTCTATTTCAACATCGGGTCTATTTCACCGCCGAGTCTATTTCAACTCATGTGTCGGCCCAAGGTTGTATTGGGTCTATTTCACCCCAGGTCTATTTCGCCCCCGGTTCTATTTCACCCCCAAGTCTATTTCAACTCATGTGTCAGCACAAGGCTGTACCGAGTCTCTCTAAAAACTCGAAATTCCCAGGAGGATCTTGAGTTTCTCCTCCACTCTTGGTAAGTATCTTCATCCTACTTCTAAATATTCTACACTCCTTCATTCGAATCATGGATTTCTGATACAAATATCATCATATTTGTTCTTAGAATCTTCAAATCCTCAAGCAACCTCCAAGTGTTCTTGACTTGGAAACCTCTTTCCTTCGACATTCATCTCAGAGAACCACACAAGGTGAGTTCATACCCCTATATTTTCATGTTTTCTTCAAGTTTTAGGGGGGGAATACAAGTTATAACACCAAAAAACTTAACTAATCTCAAACATCAGCTTTCAACAGGAAAGCTCAGTTCCATTCACAGACTGTTTTGAACATCTTAAACTTTTTAGTTTTCAAAACTGTGCAAGGTGCAAATAGTTCAGATTTATACCTTTCTAATGACTATTTGCACATCTCCATACGATTTTTCTACAATTTATGGCGATTTTTACAAAACTGCCTATCAATCCAGAAACAACTTCGGACCGGTCTGTGAAGTTGAGCATTTTCACACAAGTTAGAGACTTCTAAAACTCATAATAAAATTTATGAACAAACTAGACATATTTTCTAAACCCTCAGAGTTTACGGATTCAGTTTTCGACTTCGTATGATTTTTCTAAAACAGTGTAGAAAAGTTAAAAACTAGTTAAATAGCTTACAATATTAATAACACTTTGTAACATGTTGAGCAAAGTGTATAACAATAAGTTTCTAAATGTTGAATGTATTTCTTGTTAGTTTAACATCATAAACAAAAATTAGTCATTCATGATAAGGGTTTTCATTTACTTCGAACACGTACAATAAACTATAATAGGTATAGTTTATGGATTTTACATTACAAACATACTACATAAAAGGGGATTTATTTCCACCACATAAAAGGTTTTACATTCAAACCACACGTAGACTCGTTAACGTAAATTGTGAGACAATTCTTCATTGTACTCTTAGAGTACAGGTTAAAATTCCTGTAAGTTATAATCAGAGTCTCTTGTAGGGAGAGCGTGATAATTGTATACAGATTTATATTGGGATTGACACCCCACACCTTGCTGCTAGCTACAGTGGGACATGCAGGTCTACGGGTGACAAATGTCATAACATTTTGACGTCTGAAAAATGTTATAGCAGGTTCATCTAGTTATAGTATGGTTATAGCGACTCACATGGGGAGTTAACGACATTTCAAGTTTACGGGAAATTCCACTTTAAAAAGGGGGTTTTATATATTTAAAACTGCATACATCGTTACAAGTACAAAACACACACATACATTCGGTCTTGGGATTTAAGACTACATAACATTTTATAAGGAAAATATTGGATTTTTCTTGAGTATGCATTACATTTACAAACACGTTACAAGTACGAAACACACACATACATTCGGTCTTGGGATTTAAGACTACATAACATTTTATAAGGAAAATATTGGATTTTTCTTGGGTATTCATTACATTTACAAACAAAGGTTTTTCGAACTCAGCATTCAAAAGCTTATGAACTCACCAAC